TTCTAAAATACCAAATGGTTAAAGATCAGGCCCAACATTCATGGGAAACACTTTTGAGCCTGTGTTTTCTTTACAGAATTCACATCTTAAGGTGCATTATTATCATATGATACTTTTCTTTATTTGCAAAATAAAGAAATGAATGTGATTCTTCAAGATGTGTCTTACAGATAGTCTTCAGTGTAAACCTGTATCAAAATCAGCAGTTTTGACTAGCAAAGTGTGTTTATAGAGCAAAGCTTCCTTATTATCACAAAAATTTTTAATGACAGAGCAAATCCAAATCCTACCTATGCCCTTTGGCCTGTCAGAACCCAGATGAAGGTTTTGAAATGATGACAAAGAAAGATGGGTTGAGACATTCCAAGCATGAAACATCAGAAAACCAAGTTACCATTAAAAATAGCAATAGTTTCTTACCTGTGTACTTATCTGTAGATGAAGCCCACTTTGTGATTAGGCAGCAATTAGCATCAGAAGGCATTAGTCTCATATGACATCTTAGTGTCACCTGCAAAACTTTCCCAAAATATCCCCTCCTCAAGCTAATGCTCAGTCCATAATACATTGTGGAGTTTGTTTCTTTTTACAAAAGAGGACCTGCATGAATAAAAACTGCAAAAGCAGAATCAAGTCAGAAATGGATGGTATAACTTGAATTGGATGATAATTTGCTCTCCCCAGCTGTCTACCCTTTCTAAAATCTTCAGCCAACAGGGAGTTGAGCTGGTCACAAATCACCTTTAACCTGGCTCCACGGAATGTCACTCTGACATGAAGTCAGCTGAATAGCTCAGTTCAACCTCAGCAGCTGTCCCAAGCTAAAATTTTTCTGTTCGTATATTGCATCACTTACGCTGATTCAGAGTCACTGCACACTGCACACAGCCATTACAGGCTCTAATGACCTAAGGTGTTACTGTCCTCTCCTGAAGTTACTGCATCCACAACTTTGCTGCCAGAACAAATCATCTGCAAACTCCTAAGGTATTTCATGCAAACATATGTGGATTAGCTCAAGTTACACTCAATAGCACTTCATGCTGTTGGCTGACATTGCGTCGAGTGAACAGGGGAGGTTTCTCATTCTGGTCTCCTGGCTCAGCAACAAGGGCAAGAAACTTAACTGAAGTCTAGTAAATGAATAGTTTAGAAAACCAGAAACATCAAATCTATCAGAGATGACTTTGCAATAATTTTTCTTGCTGCAGCCTGAAATGGTGCTTTAGAATTCGTAGGATAAGCAAACTGGTTTTATTACCCAAGAACATGGTGTTCAACAGAGTTCTTCCACAAGGTCTCTTTATCAGTGGAGAAACACACCTTTTCTCAAGATACCTCACTTCTCTGAAGAATAGATTAAAAATGTTTCTCTAACTTTCTGTACCCTTAGAAAAATTCTTCCCCCCAGCAGATGACATCTTACTTTCCTACCATATAAGACACATATTACATCAAAAATAAAGATTTAAATTGTGCTGAGCATTTCTGTTCACAGATTCCATGAAGGATGTTCCTTGAGCGATCACATAGACCACTTTGCTCCCTAAACACACAGGCTAAAGAATCTGCTGTCACTTTGAGCTCATGCACACCCCAGGGAATTTTTACAGCCAAAACACACCTGCACGTCAGTTACATAAGCAACATCTGCATTATTCATCTAGAGAGATTTAAAGACTACTTATTATGGTGACATTAATTTAAAATAATAAAGAAGAGGCACATATCTGCCAAGAATGAGCAACCCATGAACATGGCAATGTGTAAAAGGAGAATTATTATGGCATACACTCATAAATATGACCCATGAGCCCAGCAAATCCTGGAATTTAGATTATTTTGTACTTTAAAAACATCTAAGCCTCACAGTGTAGGCAGAATATGTAAGTTTGTTGCTTCTATTTTAAGAGCAGGTAAACATGAACAAACAGGTGGTTTGGAGTCAGACACAGTCAGTTAATCTTAAAGGAGAAAAAGAAGAAAGCCTCCAGACTTTGATTTTTGAGCTCTATTTTAACTATTAGTTTTGGCTTCACTGAAATTGATGGCAATATGATTTTAACCACTATTAACAAGACAGCTGTTTCACTTTTACACTTTATCCAAGCTTACACATGATTTTGGGAGCCAATGACTTTTTATCCATGAGCTTTTTTCCCTCCCCTCTTTGTTCAAAAAGGATCAAATGGGAATATTTTTATCTCACCATGTGGTTAAGAAATATTTTTGCTTGCTCAAATTTGCCTGAAGTTGGTCACAGGATACCTTGAGGATCTGTTCAGTGATGTAAGGCTCCCCTGAATGACATTCCCTGTTTGGGTAGGCAGCAGTGATTTGCTGTCCATGACCACAACCATCTTCCAGCTCAAACACCTCCTCCATTTCATCTCTGCCCCATCTCTGACTGACTTTAAAATTATCACATCAATGTTCATTTAGACTTGTTTATAAGTGGTAGCAGCCGCTAATGTCTCTTCTGTAACAACTATTCCACAATGGCCAGCTTGCATAGATGGTATTATATCACATATGGGGTGACTTTGTGCAGCTTAGTTCAGTCTGGGGTGAATCAAGCCAAACCTCAAAAAAGCATTTTTAGAGTAGAAAAAGTATCCACAAGCCAAGTCAGTGCAGAATAGCTTTTGCACTTTAAATTCATACCAAAGTTTATTTTACAATAGCTTCACTTAAAAAGTACTTAACAAAAGAGACAAGGAGGGACGTGTATGTGTGTGTGTGTGTGCATGACCATAAAGGTTAAGCAGCAAACTACAGATGATTGCTGCAACTATCTCCAGGATAACCTTGTTTGTAGAGGAAACACAGCCACCCTGTGCCAGGCCAGGCAAGAGAAAATGGGGTTGTACAGAGATTTTTAAATACTATTTTATGTGTTTGGGTTAAAGGTCTGGGGTTTTTTTTGTACTTTTATCAAACACCAGAAGTTGTATTGCCATTATATTATATAACACAGGGGTAAAAATATATGTACATGTGCCAATATACGACATATTTTTGTCTTCCTGCACTTTCCTTTCAATTATAACTAGTCATTGAGATACACAATTTATAAATGAACAGGAAGTTCTCCAGTAATACATTTAATAATATTTTCCTATTTGTTCATGTAGTGACCTGTGACACTGTTTTCTGAAAGAATTATTTTTGTAATTGTGCTGCTCTTTTCTTGCACAAGTAGGAGGCAAGTCAGTGCTCATTCTTTTGAACGCAGGCCTCCTACTCACAAGATGTGCCCATTTGAAACTCTGAAGATTATTTCAACCCTGATTACTTGCTTTCAGTGCATTGCACCCACAATCAGTGCACCTGTAATGAGGTCAGATGATACATGCTGGGGAAAAAAAACACATGGAAGTACGAATCCTCTTATTTACATAATTCGTTTTTCCCCCTCTAGACTATTCCAGTTCCAATGATGTTATTTCAACTAATGTGAAATGCAAAGTTTTGTATATTATGGTGGAACAAATATAAATCATTCACTTAAACCTATATTACAGTGCTATGGGTCAAGCTACAAAAGAAAGGTTTTGCTTGCCTTCATGTGAGAGGCAGAGTACAAAGCCATCAGCATCATCAATCTGGAAGAGTTTTTCCAGGCTGAAGCAGTCACTTCAGGCTCCACAGTAATTGCTACCGACTCAGTGGCCACTTTACAGACCCGTCTGTCCTTCCAGCACAGTGAATCACTACAACATAGGGTGAGTACACAGAGTAATCATGTCAGGCAGTACCAGGACCTAAGCCTCATCGCAGGAAAGCCCTGGGTCTTGCTACATGTTTTTTAAGGAAGAAAACATCTTCATCTGTATTCAAGCACAGAAGTAGCACATATATAGTAAATACATTATATTGCACACAACAGCAACTTCAATGCAATTTTAGGAATAGCTATCAAACAATTCTGTATTACAACAATGAACAAAATCTAATCCACTGGAACATGCAAGGAGCAAACGTGTCCCAGTGTTACACAAAGGAACTGTGCCCTCATAAACTGTAAATGCCTTCTCCCAGTACCTCAGTTTAACAAGGCCAAGTGCCAAATCCTGCACTTGGATTACAGCAACTCCATGCAGCACTACAGGCCTGGGGAAGAGTGACTGGAAAGCTGCCTGGAGGTAAAGGACGTGGGGATGCTGGTTGACAGCAGAAGGAACACCAGCCAGAGTGTGCCCAGCTGGCCAGGGAGGCCAGTGGCATCCTGGCATGTACCAACAACAGTGTGGCCAGCAGGAGCAGGGCAGGGATTGTCCCCCTGCACTCAGCACTGGCACGACCGCACCTTGAGTCCTGTGCCCAGTTTTGGGCCCATCACAACAAAAAAGACATGGAGGTGCTGGAGCAGATCCAGAGAAAGGCAGTGGAGGTGGTGAAGGGTCTGGAGCACAGGTGTGATGAGTGGCTGAGGGAGCTGGGAGAGTTTATCCTGAGGAAAAGAAGACTTGGTGGGTGAGTGGGAGAACCTTATTATTGCTCTCTACAATTCCTGGAAGGAGATTGTAGCCACCGGAGGACTGGTCTCTTCTCCCAGGCAGCCAGCAACAGGTCAAGAGGAGATGGCCTCAAGCTATGCCAGAAGAGGTTCAGGTTGGACATAATGAAGAATTTCTTCACTGAATCAAGCATTAACTGGAATCTGGCTGCCTGGGGAAAGGGTGGACTTGCATTCCCTGGAGGCATTCAAGGAACCATATGTGGCACTTAGTGTCCTGTCTAGTAGACAGGGTGTCCAGTGAAAGGTTGGTCCCGATGTTCTGGGAGGCCTTTTCCAATCTTAATGATTGGGTGTGATCATGCGATTCAGGGGACATCCCGCCACAGCCCCTCACACCGCCACGGACGGGCTCGGGCCATCGCCGCTTTAAGGCTGGGTCTCCCCGGCGTTTCCCTGTTTAAGGACGGCGCGCGTGCGCGCGGGGCCGGGCCGGGCCGGGCGGGGCGGTCTGGGGCGCTCGGGTCGGCTCAAGGTGAGCGGGAGCTGCGGGCTCTGAGGGGCGCAGCGGTACCGGGGGCGGGCCGCGGGTCCGCCTGGGGGCCCGGTGCTTGGTAGGGCTCCTATTCTCCTTCCCAGGAGTCGTATCCTCAGGGAGTAGCACCTCCTCGCTACAGGGCAGGTAGGGGCACAGGTGCGGAAGAGGCTGCTGGCATTGCCCGGTCCCCGGAACGCGAGCTGGAATCGAGCTTTACTGAGCCCCTGATCAGAGCGCGTCCCGGGGCGGTGCAGGCGTTCCTGAGGAGAGGAGCTGAGCCCACCGCAGCCCCGGAGCTGCCTGTAGGACTGAGCCCCCTGCGCTGCCTCTCTGGATTCTCTCTCCTGGGCTGCTGTGCCTGCGGCTTCCGAAGCTGGTAATGGCTCCTCTGCAAGGCTCTCTGCAGGGGCTCTTCTCTTCCACCCTTGGCAGCGCTGCTTTCTGACTTGGGCTTCGGGCATACCTGGGAACCCGGATAGTCACTAGGCTCTCACGTGGGAGCCTGCAAACTGCATTATAGGCTTCTCAAAAAACCCATCGGGTGATGCTCCTGCCATCCTGGGGACAATCTGTATTCCTTATGTGAAATTCTGACAAGAAGAAATAGGCTTTCTGTATATAGAAGATATACAGATGCGGTATTCTAAAGAGTTTTGTGCAACTCTAATGCAATGCAACTACTTAGTGAGGAAAAAAAAAAAAGTTCAAGATGTGGTACCTAAAAGCTTTTAGATTTTTATTTTTTTTTTTGGCACCTGAATCTGAAAAAGTAAAGTGTATACAGTCCTATCGTATGTAGATATTAATGAGTATGCTTCCTGGAACTTTTGATTTGTAGGTCAGTGAAATCTGATAAAAAGCTGAAATATATTAAGCTTCTTGGGGGTATAAAAAAAGAGATGTCTGGATTAAAATCCTACTACTATTGTTTTTCTTCTTCATCTGCTTCTTCCTTGGAAGAAAGATTGGAGCCTGCCCTCAACACTTAGAGTGTGTCAGAAAATCCACATTAAGAAAACACTATGGGAGAGACTTCTCATGAGGGAATTCAGTGATGAGACATTAGGAAATTAGGAACATTAGGAAATCAAAATGTATTGGTTCAGTTCATGAAAGTATTTAGCTTTTTATGGCATGTATTTTTGTCCATTCCTGACAGTCAGTATTGATTCTGGCTTGCCATTAATTAACATTCATCAAATGTAGAGTTCCTTATCAGAGCTGGTAGAAACTTTGGTGCTTAATCCAGGTAGAAACTTTGGTGCTTAATCCATTACGTTTGCTTTTCCATTTACCTCACCTTGCCAGTTACAGTTGTCTCTTGTTTTTTCACCAGTCATTCCCACCTCAATTTGCTTGGTTGTCTCATTCATTGTTCCCACTATCTTCAGTTCTCTCTGCCCATTCTTTTTTCCTCTTCTCTGCTTTACTGACCATTAAGTTGCTATTCTTGTCATGTTTCTCTGTTCTTGCTTACTCCTAGTCCCAGTTCTTCCCATCTTTTCTTCCTGCACGTTCCTCATTCAGAGTCATTCTTGAAATTTCTTTCCTTGAGTTTACTTTGAGGATCCTTGCTCCAGCCATTTTGACATCACAGTTTCAGAAGACTTCCAAATCTTTTGCTCTGTTTAGATTGCCTGCCTCCTTGCTGCCTAGGCCTGATACAGGACTACCTGTTCTTCCTTTTGCTTTTTAACTAGCCTGCATCTGGCATGAGCTTTAATGACTTGGAAGCAGGTGACTCGTTTTGGCAAGAGTATAGGCAGCTGAAAACTCTGCCTTATGGACAGTCACAGAAACACGAAGTTCTGGGAACCAAGCCCAGGGCAAACAAACTGGAGCATTTTAACACTGAGGAATTTATTTAACTTTTTAAAAGGAGTTGTCACATGTCTCTGAAACAGTGGGGAAAGAAAGGCAAGGGGAGACAGAGATAAGGGTGAAACTGGGCTAAAACCTACTTGAGACTCCCCTGAAGATGCTGCTGTTGTGCTGCTTAATGCTGCTGATGTACTCGTAGGGTGGATCAGGTGATTGGCATAGCACAATTATGTTAAAACTTAGGTTTTTTACTCTGTTTGATTCAAAGAGTAAAACCAACTCAGATTGGTTTTGTTTGGAAACGCTAAAATGTAATAGTTGTGTTGTCTTTTTAAAAAATAGTCAAAAACATCCTGCACACTGGCATTAAAAAAAATTGTGTATACGATACAAATCCCCTTTATTTCACTTTTTAAAGAAAACTTGTTCTCTTTTTCCAAAAACTTTCCTCACTGTACTAAAAGATGGTGCCTCTACTTATTTTCTTTAGTCACTTCTATATTGTTTGTAATGTGAGGAAAGTTTGATTCTTACTGTGTTACGGTGTTACTGTGACCATTTGCTTGTGTAATGGTGTTGCTGACTTCCACTGTAGGTGCAGACCTATTTAGAAGTAAATGTCCATCTGCAGTGTTGTATTTGCTGTGGCAGCTGTCACAGAATTAGTGACAATTCAGTTTCACTTTTTGTCCACCCACTCACAGTATTTGGAAGATTTTCAAATTGAACCAGTACACAGGCTCCTCAAACAAAAGCTGTGAAAACAAACTGCGAAATAAACAGTGCTTCTGTTCCTTCAAAATGTCAGGCATTCAAAGAAGTAGTCTAAACTTACATTGAATAATTTTTCTACTCACATCTATCTATGCTGCTCTGTATTGCTTTGTCTTCCTTTTAGTATGTTAATATCTTGGATTTTTTTTTCTTTATATAACTGGGTTTTTTTTCCTCTGTATAATCATAGAAAGCAGATATCTCAGGAGTACGTTAGTCACAATAAAAATTATCTTCATCCTCTCTTGTTCAGATTGGGGTTTTGTGTTTATACATAATACACGTTTAGTTTCAGGCTAACAAAAATGGAGTCAGCAGTTTTGACAGTGGCCTGCTCTGTAAGGCATGAGCTGTACAGCAATTCTGCCTGCTCTGTGTGGTTCAAAAACACAGCCTCAAACCCTCAGCCATGAGTAGGGATAGTACATACAGAGGTGATGTATAGTGATGTGCCCAGATCTCAGATGCTGTTGGTTTATATTCACTACATTCTTAACTCATTATTTCTGCTCAGAGCGGTTTGATTAGTGGTTAGAAACTTCAGCTGAGTTGCAAATGTGTGCAAATCATTTACTAGAGTGGGCTTGGCCTTTTAAACTGCACTGAACACATCTGACAGTTTATTAAACGCTCCTTGTATTAGCAGAAATTCTCAGATGCTAAATCAATTGCTCTGGGAAAAACAGTTGTACTGCTTGAATGTAATTTTGCTGGGCAGATGTTAACAGGAAAGATTTTAGTTTTGTTCTGAAAAATATTCTGTAAAATAAATACAGTGGCATGTGCCCATGATCACAGAGGAAGTCTGTAGCTGAGTACAGAGCTGAACTTAACATCATCCAAACTTTCTCTTAGGCCATCCTTCCTGTTAGGGTTTTACATTATTTATGTTCTGGAGGTTGTATCAGCTTTTTGGGTATAAAGGTGGATTTCTATTTCACATTTCAGTTAAGTCCTTAATTTTCAATGCTCATTTTTGTATATAAACAGTAAGTAGTAATTTCATCAAAGTGTGGGGTTTTTTCCTTTTGTTGTAGACTGTTCTACACTGTTTTGTCCAAAGAGCTGTGCAGATCACTTATTTTTGAGCATTATGTGATGCTGTAAAGACACATTTGAGATTCATTCCTTGTAGCATCCTTATGTGTTGAAATACTGGAAAGAAATTAACTTTTTATTAAGTTTTCCCAAATAAGAAGCTTTTCAAGTGCAAACACAATAAAATGCTAAAGCTTGATCTGTTTCTTTAACAAGATGCTTGTGTTTTGAGTCCGCTGTGTGTTTTAGAGGGGAGGGATGGACAGGGATGTGCACCTTTTCTCCTAATAACTTTTTAGCTGTTTTTCAGCATTCCAGACTATAGTTCTTGATGATTTATGGTTGCTGTTATGTAAGCACTGTAGCAGTACAGACAGAAGGTTCTGTATTTTGCAATGTTCAGTGAACAAAGATGTTGGATAAATGGTGATGATTTACTGTTTCTAGGCTCGTCTTTTAGATTTGCTCCAATTTGCTGTTCTTGTCAGCAAAATAAACACTATGACAAAGATGTTAGCTATCATGTTTCATTCCTTAATGTCCTTTGTTCGTGTGGAGGTTGGTTATTTATGGCTCTTGGCTGAAAATAGTAGTCACATTTTTATTTTGTATTAGATCTGAAAGCATGTGAGATCATGTTTTTCTCCTGTTAAATCAGGGTAACTTCCTCTTAATAACTTTAGGTCTCACAGGTGCAAAATCACAGATTTGCAATCCTCTTTTAAAACTGTTGAAATTCAGGGAGAAGTCTTTCTGTAGAACAGATTGAGTGATGATCTCATTCTTTCTCATCTCTGAGTACTGCTAATAGAAAGAATTGCTTTTTCTTACAAAACATCTTACACAACAATGTCTTTTTATCATGTACCTGCAGGCTGCTATTCTGGTGTGCCTGCCTGCCTGCCTGCCTTTTATTGAGTGGCACCTGACTGTGTGCAAAGCTGCCTCTGTGTCTGCTAGGTGGGAGCAGGGTGTTCTCAGTCAGCACAGGAAAGCTAATCAGACACCTCTCCTTCTGCCTGGTAGGGGCTGGTGATGGTCCCACAAGGAGCACGGTGCATTACAGTTTTCCTTCTTTCCAGCAGGTGCTACTGTCACATTGTATAAATCAGGGCTTTAATAAGATAAACAGGGAAACTCCGTATTCGCATGTTTGTTTATTTTATGCTTGAGGTTGGTTTATATGATTATTTATATCTTCCTTGGGCATGGGTGCTGAAGTTGGGGAGGTCTGTATTTCATCCCCAGTTTCCAAATTACTGAGTACATTGCCTCATATTCTTTTTTCAAGGAAATTTATGTTTCAGGCCTTCAAACAACATTTTCTTTTGTAGAAATCCAGTGTGAAGGTGCTGCAAAAGCAGAGATGATTATACAAAGAGTAGTGCTGAATTCACGGCCTGGTATGTATTTCACTCCACTAAAACAGCAATGTGTTTGTTCTGATTGCCTAATGCTCCAGAATGGTGAGGGTAGAAATAGACACTAATTTGAGATATTGACATTTATACATCTTAATATTGTATGCAGCAATAGAGTTTATTTAAATTGCATTTATTTATATATAAATTTATCAATTCCCATTAATATAAATATATTTGTAATAAATTTGTCTGCATTTATTAATAAATGTAAACTGTATTAATATAAATTTCTGTTAAATATATAACATATATTCAAACTGCATTTGTTTAGTCTGCAGATTTCCAAACTGTTGTGTGAGAAAAAAGGGTTAACATGTAATATAAGAGAAAACTCTAAGTGTAGGGGCTGAAAGTGAAGAAAGATTAGGGCACATGACTTTTTAGTTTTCACATTTATTCTTTTTACATTGGGTAAGAGATGTCTAAAATATTTTGTTACTATTAATTTTTGTTTCCTTGTAGTAAATATTGAATCTTTTGCTCCTCTCATATTTCAAATGGTTTGGTTTTTAAGTTTACACTGTTGAGGTTTTGTTTACTCTCTTGTTTACACATTTGCCTTGTTATGGATCAGCGCAGTATTTTGAGCAGTGAGTTCGTAAATCTGGCGTAGAAGACATTAAGTTTTGGAGGGAGTATTGTATGCTGCTTAATGCTAAAATAGTTTTAAGTGTTAAGAACTATAGTGTGACCTTCAATTAAGATTTTCAAATGGTACAGCAGGAGCCTGCTCTAGCTGTGCAGTGACTCTGACCTAAAACAGGCAAGGCTGTCTGGCTGTCTCAGTGCTGGTGGTTCCAGTTGTCTGATTGATCTGCTGCATGTGGTACCAACCTGAGGATGAAGCCTCCAGTTCTGGGAGGCTTGCCACAATTTTTTGAATGTTTCTGGGGAGCCTTAATGTAAGGAAGTCTCTGTGAAGGGATGCTCTTGCAGAATGTGCATTTGCGGTGGCTGCAGTCTGTATTCATTCAGCCTCACTTGAGTCAGAAGAGGCAAAAAAGTGAGAGTAGTTGGTTGTAGTTTTACACCTGAGTAAATGTATAACCTAATTTATTCTAAAAAGGACTATCTTAAAAAAAGGCCTTCCCCTATTGATGAGGGATTCGTTTATTTATTTAATTCTAATATAACTCTAGGTAAGAATGGAGTGCCAGTGGCTGAAAACTTCCGACTGGAGCAAAGTACAATAGCAGATACAGTCCAAGCGGGACAAGTGCGTGTTAAAACTCTCTATCTCTCAGTGGACCCCTACATGGTAGGTGTTGGATTTTAAGTACCTTCAACTCTGTACCTGTCATGATGTTTAACACCAAAGTTACCAGTTACAGAACAAATATATATCTAGTGTGACATAGTAATTGTATTCATTCTGATGGAGTTATATTGGGAAGGAATTTGGCATTAATATGCTTGGGATATTTGTATAGGAATATGACTTTACTGGATTAGGAAGAGACTGTAAGCCATTACAGATTTGTTTGTATCAGTTTTTTTCTGTACTTGGCCTTTTTTGTATTCTTTTTTTTCCAGTCATGCAAAATTACAGAAATCATGTGGCTGAGAGAACTGTGGGTTGAAATGGAAGTGAAGGTAGAAGAAGAACCAGACAGATACAGTCTGTAAAAGTTTGCTATAAAGAGAATTCTGATAATTTATTCCCTCCATAGATGGTGATAGTAGAAAAAAAAACAGTCTAGATTTCAAAAAAGTACATTTAGCTTGAGAATTAAGGAAAAGTTTAAGAATTTTTAAATACTGGCTGTAGCTACATGGGAAACTGCAAAGAAACTACATCCTATTTCAAGATGTTTCATTAAACAGATCTCTGTCAGGGATGGTCTACATATATTTGACTGCTCTTCAGTGCAAAGGCATAGACTAAATGACTCGTGGGCATTCTTTTTCAATCCTGCATTTCCAGGATTCCTTCAGTTGAGGAATGGCATTTGTAGGGTTCTCATCAGACCCAAGCCAGTCATTCTCAGTTGTGCTGGTGCCTATGAGCCAACGTCTGTAGATGTTGGCTTTGGTAACACTGCTGGAGGAGATCAGGTTGGTCCATCCTCCTTTTGTACTGAGCAAACAGGGGGAAGGAGGGATCTAAGAAAAGATTATGAATACTTGGGGCTTATTGTGAGATTTTTGAGTAGCCCTTTGTGTTTGAAGTTCTAAACACATCTTCATCCCCCACTCTACTTGAACTGATAAACAAGTTGTGTTCCACCAGAGCCTTTCATTAAAGCCTTGTGTTCCAGCGCTGCCGAATGAATGAGGACACGGGCTCGGATTACCTTCAGCCCTGGCAGCTCTCTGAAGTTGCTGACGGTGGGGGCATCGGGGTAGTGGAGGAGAGCCAGCACCACAACCTCGCTAAAGGAGACTTTGTCACTTCCTTCACTTGGCCCTGGCAGACAGTGGCAATTCTTGATGGAGACTCGCTGCAAAAGGTAATAGAAATGCAAAGCCCAGGTTGTGACTGGTTTTTTCCTAAACCCTTTTCTTTTCCCCCCAAACCTCTTCTTTTTTTCCCTAAATAGCTGCTAATGACACTATTTTTTTGAGCAAAAGAAAACATACTTATTGAAGTAATCAGTTCTCAAAAGGCAGATCAACTCCTAGATGCCAAGATTTATATAAATTTATTTTTTTTGTAACAATTTTGCTGGTTAATAGACAGGCCAGTATTATTTTAATTGTTCTTAAAAAAAAAATCCCTGAAGCTGCTCCAATAAATAATTCTCTTAATTATTTAAATTCTAATAGAGCTTCTTGTTCATGAGAGTGTAAGACGTGAAAGACTTTATGTATATCTAATTTATTTTTCTAACTTATGTTAGTAAAAGCTTTTACCTCAGGTTTTACATTCACATAAGAAAGGGTACTCAATATTAAGTTGAAAGTGGAGAGGTTTCAGTGCATTAGGGCTATTGTGTTGATTTTTCTCTCGTAACAGAAAATTATTGTAGTTTGAGAATTTATACTTTCCAATAAACGCCTTCCTTTAGGACTCTGTTACTGATCTGCAAATACCATATTTGATAAAATGGTGCATTGTTATCCTTTTATGCTAGCATAGGGATAGATCACCATTGTTGGAAACTTCTTATCTCCCAACTGCTTTTTAACACTTCCATAATTTAAGTTTTTGTGGGCTACTTTGTTTAAAACCTTTTTCTAAAACCACACAGACATAACATTTTTGTGCAGACTTTTTGTTAGAATAGAGCTAGAGATAGCCCATCCCTACCGGTTTTACCTTGCCTCAGAAATATCCTGAAATAGTTTTTTACCCTCAGGCAATCAAAGAGCAAAACCTCACCTTAGAAACAAATGACCTCCTACCTACTTTCTGTTCCCTAGCTGGCACCACAGCTTGTAAATGGACGCCTTTCCTACTTTCTGGGTGCAGCTGGCATCACGGGGCTGACGGCCCTGTTGGGAATCAGGGAGAAGGGACACGTGGCCGCGGGTGCAAACCAGACCATGGTGGTGAGCGGAGCGGCCGGTGCCTGCGGCTCTTTGGCCGGCCAGGTAGGTGCAGGCTTAGGGCATACAAACATACTCTGTTAGCAAGTTTTGTCTTCTGAAACATGCTGGTTATTAAATATACAGATAAAATCTTCATAAATGTGAGCAGGTATAATCCCGTGGGAACGGCCAGTTTCACAGATTTGGCACACACTCTCACTGTGAAAGACTTGACACGTGAAACTCAAGTTTCATGAAATAGGGAGAGGAGAACACAGATGGTGGTGATTACTTGTTGCTAACACAAGTAAAATAGATGGTGTGTATATACATGTATTTATTATACATTTATATGGTAGCCTGCCATCCAGCACTGTGTTGACTGGAGACTTCAATTTTTTTTTTTTTCTGTCTTAGAAAATAGTAATGTGGTAAACCCTTTGTGCTGTGTCCCATGACATCTTTTGTGTTTTGAGATTTACAGTCCTTTTGTCCTCCTCTGCTTTGTAGAACCTGTTTGGAGAGTGTATGTGCATATCTACAAATCTTTCTCTCTTTCTCTGTGTGTGTAGATATATATATATATACACAAACAAAATCAATGTTAAGCAAACTTTAGACCTAATAAAGAGAAGCTATGAAGAAACAATGCATGAGCAAATCTATGAAGCTTGTATTTAAAGAAATTATTGTCTAATTTTTGTTTCCTTTTATTAGTTATGTTATGGTACTCAGCAGATGGCAGTTTTCTACTATATTTGGTTCTCCAGTACTGGCAGTCATTGTTGATTCCACAAACATAGTCTTCTGCAGTCAGTGGGTTTGAAAAGATGGCAAATTTTGATTGTACCTGCCCCGTGTGTAGTTGTGAGGAGGGAGTGACAAGAAGCAGTTGTGTCATATGAGATGGGATTGTTTGCTGCCTGGGGTTTAGTGGGATGGGAATACCTGTAACACCCCTTAGGACCCCCTTTCTTCTGCTGGTACTTTTATGCATATGAATGATCTAATTTGTCTTTGGGGTTTTTGGTTGATTTGTTTGGTTTTTTTTTAACTGTGTGTCTGCAGATTGGCCGTCTGGAGGGCTGCTCTAGAGTGGTGGGGATTGCTGGCACAGATGAAAAGTGCTCTATTTTGGTCCAAGAAATGGGGTTTGATGCTGCTATCAATTACAAGAAGGGGGATGTGGCAAAACAGCTACGTGAACTCTGCCCAGGTGGTGTGGATGTTTACTTTGACAATGTTGGTGGAGACATCAGTGATACAGTTATAAGTCAGGTGATTATTCCAGCTGCCAGGTTTATTCTAGTCGTTCTCCAATATCTTTCAATTAATTCATACTGGAGTCCAGCCTGTAATACAGCCCTGCTTTCCACTTCAGGGATCGACTTCAGGTGCTAATTCTGGGGGCCCACATTAAGATAACAATTTCCTATATTCCTTCTATTTAGTGTCGTTTAAAATTACACTAGGCTGTATAGCAGTTATTTTCCCACTATTGCCTTGTATTTTTACGTGTTTTAATGTCATAGATTGAATGGGATTGCATGCAATTCTCCCATTCTTATAGGAAATATGGCTAGTGAAAATTTTGCAATAACATCTATTGCATCTGAAAAATTTAGTTTCTGAGGCTGAGGAATGCCATTTTTCTCACTTTGTTGTCCCAAACAGATGAATCAGAACAGCCATATCATCCTGTGTGGACAGATTTCTCAGTATAACAAAGACGTGCCTTATCCCCCTCCACTGCCTCCTGACACAGAAAAAATACAGAAAGAAAGGAACATCACAAGGTACATTTCTCCTCCAGAAATTGTGACTAGGTTCCAGGTAGATTGTTCATATGGTGTTTGTAGTCTGTAATCTGCAGTAGCTACTTGTAATTGGAACAGAATGTTGCCATGCCTAAAAAGGAAAATAGAATTGTGGTATCAGTAGATCCTTTCCCATATATTTGTCTTTATCAGCATAAAAAAATGGGAAAGGATGTTTTTATAGAGAGTCATAGATGTCAGTTGTTACATTTTGTTTGAGCTTGCTTGATTCAGTCCTTTAATCCCTGACAATTCTTTAGTATAAGGAAAGGTGTTGCCATAGTTCTGTTCTCAGATGTTTTGCAAAGTGCCTTCTCTCAAAGTGTTGCAGTTCAGGCATAAGGATGCAGCTGATGCAGTGATTTTATTGAAATTACATTTTTAGTATTTGGGGTTTTATTAGATAATGGAACTGTAGGCGTGACAGATATATAAGGGTAGAACATTTTTATTATGTTCTGACTCTGGGAATTGCTAAATTTCCTCTTAGGGTTCAGATCGAGCTAAGGCAAAGATTAGGAGGAGAGTCTTAGATTTTTCAGTCATTGCATTGCAGGACATTTGGGAGATTTGATTTCTGTGCAAATCAATTGATGTCTTCTAATTAAAATCCTTCCTTGTCCTTGTTACTGTTGTCTGCCCTTCTAAAAAAATGAATATAATTATTAAAATATACCATGCATGGTAGAATGCGGTGGAGAATTTAGTCAGTATATCCCTACAAGTAATTCTCATTTTTGATGATAATTTCTATTTCTCAGTTGCTATGGAAAGCCGTGACAGCAGGATATGCAGAATTGTGGGGAATCTGAAAGTTAAGTTATTCTCACCATCTGATTGCAGGTTCATTAATTATTCTCCCTACCACTGAAAAAAAGAAAAAATAAAAGGCAAAAAATAATAGGAATTTGCTCACCTTTTATGGATATTTGCTTATTCTGATGATACTATTTTAACTATTGATTTTTATTACTCTTCTCTCTGATACTTGAAGAAAATTTCCTAAGACTGATGTTTCTGTCAAGCTCCTGCTGCAGGAAGTGTCACAACAAACTGGCAAGGCCCTGAGCTACATTTCTTTATAATTTGTGCTCATAACCCTTCAGTTTCAACAAGGCTGTTTTCTGATTTTAAAGATTTTCAAGGACATTGATCAAAGTTTCTTAAACCAAAGCTTATTCTTTTCTTTCACAGGGAAAGATTCTTGGTGTTGAACTACATGGACAAACAAGAAGCTAGTGTATTACAACTCTGCCAGTGGATCCAAGAGGGTAAACTGAAGGTGAGAACATCTAGGTTTAATCTATGGCCTTTGATACTATATCCTACTACAAGAGGACTAATTTCTTTGTCTCTGCCTCTCTTACTGTGCCTCAGGATTGAACAGACCTTTTAAAAAATGTGTAAGTATAATTGAAAGCTCATTAGGTAGTGCTGTTTTAAAAGGTACTTGCAGAGAATGGTCTGACTGTAGTATGACTGACTTCTCTGATTACATGCTGCTCATGTCTGTATTCTTTATTTCAGCACAGAGTGCAAGTGCTTTTTTACTTAAAGATTCAGACTCTCAAAAATATGTACTTTCAAATACCTGATGAGTTAAGTGTCCTGAATGCTTTTGACGCTCTTGTTCAAAATTTTACTTCAAGCTTTATGATCACCATTTATTACTTTGTAATGGGTATATGCTTAACTGTGCCTTCCCTGTGAGGTCTGTCTGAATTAGTTTTTGCTTCTTCAAGTGATCAGTAATCTTCCTGGGAAAATACCAAGACATTCACTTTTGGTAGGGGCAGGAATCTGATTGAAGAGTTAACCCATCTGCAAATTTATCAGAAAATATTCACACCTCTCTTGATGAAAGAATCTAGTCCAAATAGAGCCCTGTCCATTGCAGCAAGAGAAGTCTTTAGATTTCGGTGGTTTCTGTGGCAGTTTCTTGGCATGTTTCTAAGAAATGTGGAATGCTCCTCTTGTTTGAGGAAAACTGAAAGGATTTGTTTGCATTGACAGGTCAGAGAGACGGTGGTAGAAGGCTTAGCAAACATCGGTGGTAAGATATTCACGTCATTTCTGAAGAATAATGGCCTGATTATATGCAATGACATTAGAGGTTAACTACCTCCTAATTTGTTTCATTTGTCAATTTAGATTTTTGTATTTTTATCAAAAACATTATTTTTGTTATAATGATTTTTTTACTAATTATTAAAATGTTCTGTAAGAGAATTATTGTATATTTAAAAATAATTTAATATAAATTTAGATTTTATTGTTGTTGTTTTAGTACTCAGGGGAATTTATTCTTAGACTGCTATCTTAGCAGCTGGTAATAATCATCCAGATCTTAGAGGTTTAAAGTGCTGTCCCTTTCTTTGAACTTGTGGGTAAGGAAATACTTTTTTAAAATCCTTTATACTTTAAAAATGCAGTATCTAACAGAGGTTGTTGTTGGATTTGCTAACAAAAAAAAACCAAAAAAAACCAGAAAAGTATACAGAAGAAAGGGCAAAGCATCCTACTAAAGAAAGTAAAAATTTCTTTTAATAGAACAAAATGTTCTGTAGTCTGTTCAAAGTATCTGTAAAAAAGGAAATACAGAAATGAAGGGGGTCTGGTGACATGAGCCATGTGATGTGTTGTAAAAATGTGTCCCCTTCAAGGAAGAGGGAAGAGTGTGATTTAGTCCCTTCCATTAGTCCCACAAGATTGAAAACTAGTGGAAATAAGTGATAACTAAATCTCATAGATTTGAATTTATTCTAGTCATTGCTAATTCCTCCTTACTGGTATACATATGTATTTTGAAGTAACTTGGTCAAATATATCAGTCATATATCATACTTTCATACTTTGTTTACTCAAAGACATATTCTTTTGTACTAGCTTCTCCCACTGTTGTACAATATTTAGGAAGCTTTTCTTTCACAAACGTTTGTGTGGCCCACAGCATTTGTGGGCTGTCCAGTCTTGCCTTGTCTCTCTTTCCTGTTTGTGTGACATATCACAAAAGCAGCAAATGTAATCTTTAACTTGTATAGGGTCAAACAGTTGCTTACAGATTTTTTTTAAATTATTACACAAAGCTGCCCTTAGCAGTTTATTACAGGCTAGGTTTTTTTGTTTGTTTGTTTGTTTGTTTGTTTTTTGGTTTGGTTTGGGTTTGTTTTTTTTTTAAATCCCCTTCTTAATTTAGTACATCATTAAGGATAAATATGATTAGGTCCAAAGTAGTATCTCTCCTTTTTGGGGAGCTGCTTAATAAATTTTCTTCTACCATTTTTGGTTTCATTTTTAGAAGCTACTTGGCTTATTTTGCTTAACATTAACTTATTTCATTATTTCTCTTGAAGCTGCTTTCCAGTCCATGATGAATGGAGGCAATATTGGAAAACAGATCGTCTCAATTTCGAAGTAAAAGTCATTGGTTTGAGAAAAATAATTGCATTCTGTCTCTAACAATGGGCAAGTTTTTACTTATACTAATTTCCATTTCTTAAATAAACCATTAATTTGTTCTGTATGTACTGAAAGCAGAGATTTTGGGATGCTAATAAATTAAATTGAACTGGAAACAGCAATGCAATAGTTTGTACTTGAAATGAGTAATACGTTCTTGACGTGATTTTGACAGTTGCCACCTACACTTGCAAATATTTAATGGGTGTGGTTTAAAAGAACGTCCTGTGTTGTCCCAAGCACAGGCTCATCACCTAGTTGGTGTGTGACAGCACTTCACACATCAAGGTGAGAAATTCCTATTTCTTTATTGTATTCTGTGCAAACTAGGAAATTTGGGGGCAACCCACAAAAGCCTGGCTTACCACCATCAAAACTTTACACTATTTGCACATTTTAGCAAACAAATCCATCAGCATTCATTGGTTACAATTGATGTAGCTTTTTCATTAATTAGTACTCAGACCCTTATTTGCCAGCTATATTTCTTGCTTCTCATGCTAATTATTCCTCATATGCACTTCTTCCCCCCATTCCATTTGGGGATCTGTTTTAACTTGGTGGTCAGGGGGTCGGTAGTTTTGATCTTCCCTGCAGGATTACCTTTCCCCCAGTTACTGCTCAGTCCTGCTGACTTCACTCCAAGGGCTCTCATCCAGACAGCCCATTTATTTTGGGACTGTGTTCCCTTTTCCTTGAAACAAAGGTTTAGCCATGCCTACAAATTTCACTGTGCAATTGCTTAATTATAACTGCCTAGCTGTAGGTACTGATTAACAGCAAAAAACCTGCAGAGTTTGATTCAAATCTCGAGGAAGTAAATATCACAATATTTGCTGAAAAGCTACTCCAGAGTGACCTCATCTCTGGCACCATGAGTTGACACACTTTCCATGAGTAATTGTCCTCTAGACAGTTATTTTTCACAACTGGAACAAAATATGATAAAATATAATATTCCCAGCACTATTATTTTTATAGGAATTGCTTAGTAATCCACGCAAGTCACCAGTCTATTAAGAGCTGTGATGTGAGGGGTGATTCAGAGTGAGATCATGCTGAGATACTGATTCCTTACCATAATAAAGGCAGCTTGATTGCAGTAGCAGTCCAGGAGTTAGGTAAGCTGTGAAGGGCAATACAGGCTCTAGCAGCATTAGTCAAAATGGCTTTAAAACAAAAAGATAGGGACAGTCAAAGCAAACCTCACCCTGATAACCCCAGTGTTTACTATTCTCACAGAAGTATTCCTTTACTTGTGAATCCTGGTTCATGTCACCTCTTAAGAATAAAAAGCCAAAAGGAGAAGGTTCTTTAAATTAAATGCCATCAGTTGTAAAAACTGGGTTTTTTTTTAATCTTGTCCTAATTTCTTAATATTTGTAATAGTGTGGCTCTTCAGCTATCATATATTTTGTACTGCAAGAGGTGTCATTTAACAAAGGGTGACAAATAGCTGGTAAGAAAAATCCAGTATGCTTTGGAGGTTGCTTCTCATGGTAATTAGTCCACATACCCAGTCTTTCACTTATTTTGGGTTGGTGGGTTTCTTGAGTCAGTGGTTGTGATCTCCCCATGTCAGAATTACCTTTATCCAGTCAGAGCCAGTTTCAGCACAGTTGCTGAGTTGTCTTTATTAGTTTCTTCCTTATTTTGGGAATTCTTCCAGATGTCCTTGTGGCCAATAAAGTCTGCATTCTTTGTGTCCTCTGTCAGTAGTACATTCTTCCCAAGCTTTGCTAACCTCCCACTTAGGGCTTGACATGCCTGAGATCAAGCATGTCAAGCCCTGAACTTTAAGGAGGCCAACAAGTACTTTAACACCTGGGCATCACTTAGAGACTGTTTATTAGCTGCTACCTGCTTTGTGGATTGTATCTTCTTTCTTGTTAATTAGGCTTGAAAATATATAAATATCAAATAACATCCTTTTTTAAGAGAATTTTTACATATTTCACATTTTACAACAATAAGGCAAGACCATGTTTCATAACCCCCTCCTGATTCCCTGTAACTCTCTGGGCAAATGGTTAATTATTTCTGTCTCTTGAGATGTCAGCATCATAATAAGTCTCTTCCCCTTTCATCTCATTGTTGTAGTTTCCCTTTATTGCATTCCATGTTTTTTAGGTCAAGCTGTTCTCCTTTTCCCAAAAACTGACCCGTACATCTGTTTCTTATCTCCATCAATGCAGCTGGTGGTGTTCCTCAAACAGTGTTCAGTACCTGCAGTGTAAAGGCCCAGAGCCAAGATATTTGGTTTATTTAATGTTTGCACCAAGATGGGTGCTAGGTAATAATTCCTCAAAGCCAGCTTGGAATGCATGCATTTGCCTCTCTCTATCTAATAATATTCATTTTTACTCATAACTGACTGGCATCATATTTGCTAACTAAGTCTGCATGTGCATAACTGCTCATCTTTTGAGTCAGTGGGTTTCTTGAGTCCCTGGTCATGATCTCACACTTCCAGAGTTACTTTTTCACCTTTCTGAGCCAATGCAGTTCACCATCTTGTTTACCTTCTTGATTTAAGATGGTCCCCTTAGAACCTATTGGCTCGGGTCCTTGTTTCTTTGTTCCTCTAGTGATCTCTTTAGGTCGTCTTAACTTTCTGGTATAATCCAGCAATTTTTCCATGTACATGGAACAGCAGCTCCTGTAACTCACAGAGCATTGGCACAACTTCTAGGAAACAAGTACAGTCTTTTATTCAAAAAGGGTGTCAAGGGAAGAGTCATACAAACACTGACTAATAGTCACTCATGCTTAATTACTGATGCCTATGACAAAATTCCTAATGCACATGTGCAAATCTTGATCTGGTTCATTATATTATAATTTACACAGACAAGTTTTCCTGGGGGGGTGTCTCTGAGTATTACAGTAATCAAAGGTAATTCTAAGTTACATTTTCCTTCTATCAGCTATCAAGTTACTATTTAACCTTATATTCTATTACAGTTTCTGCTTGAGCCTCTTTGAAAAATTGGTTGTTAACTAAATAAGGATTTATTGTATTCTGTTCCTGGGGTCTTTTCATATAGCATTCTATTCCTGAGGACTCTTCACTGCTCCATTACTCCAGCCCTCATTGTTATGGTTTCAAAACTGACCTACAGCTGCTAGGGGCTTTTTGTGAACTTTTATGCATTTCCATCTTCATGTCACATCATGACCACAGTAAGGAGGTTCAGCTACAATCTTTATAAGTAAGCATTTGCAAAGGGTAATAAAATGTAAACAGTGTTGGGCAGCAAGACCTTTTATTCTTATTTTTGGTTAAGCCAGTCTTCGGCTTTGTCTGTTTTATTAGTCTTGTGCATTCCCATTTCCATCCCATCTCCCTTTGGATCTTGAAGTATTGCTCTTGTCTGCCCTATATTTCATTTTCTTCCCTTTCATCTTCTTCCCTTTCCTGTTTTGGATTTGTTTGTTGGTTTGGTTTTGGTGGGTTTTTTTTTGGTTTTTGGTTTATTTTGGTTCATCTTGTTTCTTGTCCTCCTTTTTGTCTTCTTCATTGACAATGAGAAAAATATGGTATTTTTCATAAGAGCACCTATTAGTGTTTAGTGCTAAGCTGTACAGTTAAATGTCAGGATTTCATGCAAAATGTCACCAACACTGTGAAAAGACCTTTCCAGCCCAGACATAAATGTTTGTTACTGCAGTTTATAGTAGCTGTTGTTACAAAAGTGATGGGACCTGAGGCAGATCCCTTTCAAATAGCTTAATCTCTTCATTCAATATTTTAATGCATTGATTGTGGAAGAAGAAAGTGCAGGATTACTTAGTCCTGTTTCTAGCATTGTTCTTCTCTTTTGCTGTACTAATCTTTTCTTTACTGGCTTCTCTTCACAGTAAAAAATATTTATATAATATGTAAATAGATTACCAGGGGAGAAAAGAAGATCACAGATGGCATTATTCCACAACTAGAAATGGTAGCAGCAGCTGGAATAAGCTTCAAACTGAGAAAATACTTAGTAAGACAACTCAGAACTCTTTAGGAAAAGCACAGAAGGAAGCAGAAGTGAGACATGATGTTTTAGCCACACTAACACAGAATTTTGCAACCAGAAGTATAGATTCAAAGTAGTAAGATAAAAAGTACTGAAATTCAGTTTTGCTACTGTGCTCTGATCTGGGTAGAGTGATGAGAGTGCTGTATGTGCAACAGACTCTATTCTCTGCAAGATAGCCAGGAGGAACCAAGAAACAAGGCTCCAGCGAGGAGAAGTGAGAAAAAGATGACTCCATAAATCTGCAAAATGAGTGCAAAGCAGAGGAAGATGGCTCTATAAATCCAATAAACAAGGAGATAACACAGGAACAACTGCCTGATAAGGCCAAAGAAGAAGTTTGCTTGACTTTTGTGCTAACCTTTAGTCATTAGCACAGTGAAATATAATCCCATCAGCCACTTTCCCCTAGAGCATCGGTGGCAAAATAAAAGAGTAGTGTGCCTTTAAATGAAGGCAAGAAAATGTATAGGCAATGACTGCAGGGGGAACACTGTTGTTCCAGGGGCTGGGATATATAAAAGTGGATACAGGCACTGCAGATGTGCCAGCTCTGTCACCCACTCTGCACACATGGGAAATGCACCTCTCAACTCTGTATCCATTGGCTTCTTGCACAGCTGGTGAGAGAACCCATAGCTGTGACAACAGGAGTGTTGGTGACACAGCCACAGAGCCGGATCATCCTGCTGTCCTGGCAGCAGCAAATCAGGTGGGACAGGTCTCCACCATTCACCCACCCCTTGATCAGTGCCTCAGCGAATCCTCTCCAGCACTGGGGTGCTGCAGGGCCCCAGAGAGGTGTTTGAGGAAGCCAAAGGGGTTATGTGTCAGCTTTCCTGGATGCCCAGAATTTTCTAGATTGGTAAGTGCACTTGTTCCTCTTCCTTCTTAAAAAAAAAAAAAAAATTCAGCCTCCACACAAGCCATGCATGAATGCTCAGTGTGGGGTTGAACCAATCAGTGGGTTCAAGTGTGTGCAGTGCAGAGACTATTGGAGAGGCCAGCCTAAGGATAAAACTATTGGGTAACATTATATTTAACAATGGGAACAAGTCAAAAGATATGAAGTATATTATTGCCACTTCTTGTTCTCTCTAATCACGTAAAAGTAATTTAATTGTGAAATGTCATTTTATTATAAATTTTTCCATATTGTATCTCACAAATAAATTTTGTGCCATCTCTGATTTTCTAACAGCTTTGCAAAACAAACTTGTGTAGCAACAAATTACATTCTTTATTCTCTTAACAGTGTATTTAACTCATGTAAACTGAAGACATTACATTATTATTAGTATTACATTACTATTTTCCTGTATCACTGAAGAACAGAAATTAAGGAATAGGAAAACTGTCATCTGTTAGAAATAACAAAAGTCCTTGTTGTAGTCAACATCATCTTCCAATTTATTTTACTGTGTTCTTCTACAGTCACTGCTGTTTTTTTCCAAAGGGACCATAGATAAATTAGCCCTCTTTTTCCTTGAGAAGCCATAAATAAGTTACTGTAAAATTACCTAAAGTATTTTAGATGTTCTGCTCACAGCTGGTCTTTTGTGAAGCAATGCCGTGTTCTTTACAGATCAAGGCACCTTAGCTTTCTTGACTCTGGATCATTGCATTCTTCATTATGGTAACTAAATGTTCTAAAATTTTTGAACTTAATAAAAAATGAAAACAAAGAAACGAGTTTTCTTAGGTCACTCTTTGGTGCATTTGGCTGAGACCCAGAAACACAGCTGAGACCCAGAAAAACAGAAATTACGGACTTCATACCATAATATTCCTACAGCCTCTCCCATCCTGAGGACATTGTCTCCATTCTTTGCTTTGAAGCTGAAAACCCCAGCACCACTGGTAAGTCACTGTCCTTTTACCAGTCATGGGTGGGAGGACTGGCAGCCTCAGTAGTGGAAAATGAAACTCCTTCCTTCCAGAGAGTGAGCCTGGTTAGTTAGCCAACACCCCTAGGGCAAAAGCTATAGGCCACAGCTCAGGTAAATATGAACACAAACACTTACACACACTTTACAGACTATAATCTGCTTGTATACAGCATTATGAACTGAAAACGTATGGGCACAGGACTCTGACTATGAAGGCCACTACAATGCCTTTGCAATCACTATTACTTCATAAAGACATCTGGTCTAGTCTTGTAAAAACACATGTCAACCCTGAAATAAAAATCAAAGAATCACAAATCCAGAAGCTCATCAAGTCCTATGCTCGTATTTTGCAGCATTATAAAAATCAATAATTAATTAAAAGTATTTTTCCATTCACAGTAGTAATAGGCAAATATTTCCATTTGTGAGCCATATGGACACATTTATCTCTGTATCACTAAAAAAACCTCATTGATGATATTATTCCACAGTTGACTGTATTGATGTAAAATGCATAACTATATTATATAACATGTATTATACAGTATGTTGTATAATACAAGGAAAGTGTGTTTAACATATTGTACATTTACTATTTAATACAGTTCTGTAGCAGTGCAGGTGCAGCTTTGGGTCTTACCACCTAATGGTTGGGGTGTATGGAATTCCAGCATCACAAAATGATAAGGTTGTACCTTGACAGTTTTTAAGACAGACTTTGGAGTACTTATACTCAGGAGCTTTGACAGTTTTTTATCTCTATAATGTAAGTTCTGAGCTCTGATGATTTCAGTGTCCAGGTTTTATAAATGAGAGCTGCGGTCAATACCACCAGCCACGTTCTCATTGGGGAGAGGAAGAACGCCAAGGTGCCGTACGTTCGCTGCAGGAAGTAGCAGGAATAGACCTGCCAGGCCAGGAGCAGGGCCATTGCCAGGTGAACAAGCACAGCCACGAGGCGTCGGGCATGCCGGATGTGGGAACGGAAGCTGTGGCCCTGGCATCGCAGCAGCAGGCACCAGCACAGATAGGCCATCAATGGCAGGTTGAAAAACATCAGCTGAAAGGAAAAGCAGAGAAAAATAAGACAGTGAGCAAGCCAAGGGTTCTGGGTAACATCTATGAAGGCTTAAAAACATATGCACAGATAAAGCTGTCCCATTCTAAGGGCTGAGTACAATTCCCAGAGATGGAATCTCAGAAGGCACCTCTCCGACTTTGCAGCTGATAAAGCTGCGACTGCCTGGGCCTGAGTCCCAGGCCAAGCATTCCTGCCCATTCCCTTGCAGTCAGAGGCACTAACACGCATCTGACATTTCCTGGAACTGATTCAGGAAGCCGGACTTAGCAAAAAACTAACATGGCAAAAGCAGACGGTCTGTATGTCAGCTTAACTCTGACCCAGCCCACTGCGGTGTCACACGGGTATAAGGGAGGCACCATGAAGAAGGAGGCAATGCTGGTTTGGCCCTCTATCTTAAATGCCAAGGAATGACACTTTGTCTTTCAGATTAATGGGGAAACCGCTCCTGGGAAAACTGGACTTGTGTGCTTAGAGAGTGACACCTACTGATCTGAAGGGTTATTAAGGCTGCAAGGGCTGCCCTGGCCACTCAGTTTTTTGCTTAATGGCATTGTGTGAGCCAAGGGCAAAACCAGAAAATGTATAGAAAATTTAGAGTTATAAATCTGTAGAGACAGCCTCTAATCCAGATATCCAGGGAATCCAAAGCAACATAACTTTATTACAGAAAAAGAGAAGTTTGTGAAAATAATGCACAACCTCCTTCCTTTCTTTACATTTGCAGAAAGGTAAGAAAGACCACTTGTAGTCAGGCATGGTCACTAATCTCTCTATTTCCAAGACTCATTTCTTTAAATCTATTTTAAAAAATGGAAAAAAGCCCCTGAGGAAAAAAAGTGCTGGTTTTTAGTCTTTGTTTTATAAATACTCACCTGTAAAATCCCAACCACGAACGTCATACTGCCCTGTAAGAAGGAACCACCAACAAACACTCCAAAGGAAAAACAGGCCCCCATCTGTCCATCTATCAGTTCACCTACAAACCACGGTCCTGCAAGAGAGGAAACCAAACATCACTGTCAGGAAACACAACAGAGACACAGCCCTTTCCCACATGGCCCTTTGTACCCTGAGACTTCCCTTCCTACTGCTTGTCCAGAGTAATCAGCCTCATGTTTTGATATTCAGCAAACAGCAGTATGGTGTGAAAATACCACACAGTATGACAGGGGGTTGTGGCATGCAATGAAAATGCTTTTGAATTAGTTTCATCTCTGTGACAATTTTCAACATCACATATAATATCTTCCTTATGAGAGAGGTGAAAAGGGTAGCTTTTTCCCAGAACTACAGTAAGATATATGAAAAATGTGGTCACAAACAATTCCAGCCTGGCTCAGCACAGAAATTAAAATAGGCAGGCTGCTCTGTGTTATGCATACTACACAGACTAACAAGAAAATAGCTATTTCAGTAACATGTTATCAGAGGAAAGCAAGCTCAGATTGTTAGCACTGATGCTAACAATCAAAAAATAAGTGAAAACCAAACTGAATTTAAAAATACTCACTTTGCTTTCAGAGTAATTTAACAATCTAAGTGTTTAATTAATTCAGGACTTCTAAGTTAAGCTCTTAGAAATAAACCTTTAGTCTCTTTGGACATGAACTTTTAAAGTTCCACATAGATTTTGTAACTTAAGTAGATTTTCCCCATTCTCCAAGATGTTAGAATTCTTAATTTTCATCAGGATCTAATGTGTAATTTCAAAATACTAATTTATGTTCTCCAATACTCTAGGCTACTTACCCAGAATGGTGTATAAATTCAGAACCAGAATTGAGTAATAGAAGGTGTTTGTTTTACTGAAGACATGAAGAGAATATGAAGTCAGAGTAAGTAATCCCGGCTTTTCTAAACAGAGACAACATTTAAGAAAAATACACTTAATTCAGTTTGCAACACCTCCCCAGATATATATGTATGGATAATACTGGTCTTTCTGAAACAAATCTGCACGCTATTTACTCATTCTTTTAAATAAGGAGTATGAAATAATATTTGGTATGTCTACAGAAAAATGCAGAGGAATGCATTACTATTACTGTGATAACTTTAAGTAAAGAACCAATAAATATAACAATCTATATTAAAAACAGCAGAGGAACCTGCCATTCTAAAGGAATACACTTACTGTATGTAAATAATACTGAACGACCATTCTATACCCAGAAAATGAAGTTAGCTAGAATGAAAAACATGGAGAAAGTATGTATTAAATTAAAAGTAAGAGAATCAAAACAGTAACTCTGCAAACCCAGAAAGGTGGGTCAGCATGGACTAGATTAATTGGATTCCCTTTGATTAAATCTACTTTAGTGAGACCTGATAGCAACTCAAAATTAAGGCTAGGCATTAAAATGACATTCTGACAAGTGTGTGGTGTTAGCAGAAAAAAGCAGTAGTAGCTCTCTAACTAAAGCAGACATTTCAAAAATCAAGCCTTCCTAAAAAGTTAGCTTGTAGACTTACACATATTATGTGGTCTTCTCACAAAGAATTAACCCCTAGAGGGAAAACTTCACCTTTGGAAATCAACAGCTCTAACAAACTTGCTCATTAAGTTGTCAAACATTTATCATGGTCCACATGGACCTAGCTGACCACAGAGTTAGTTTTTTTAATATTTAACTACTGAGTTCCATAAAGGCAACTGAAAATCTGATTCTTTTCTATGTAAGCAGTTGCTGTAGTTACCTCAGGATGCTACACAATTAGGAGTATAAAGGAAGGGACAAACACTGACATGAATAGGAAGGGAGGTGGCTTCCAGAAAAATCTCATTAGTAAGGTGTGGTTCAAATGATTGTTTAAAGGATAAACGTCATGAGCTTAATAGAAATAATTTTCATTAACTAGATGGATCACAAAGTATCAAGTTATGACAGAAATGGCCTTAATATTATTTTGAGAAAGACCCAATCCTGTTCATGTTCTTTGCAAAAGTTAACAAATACTGTCTTTGAAAAAGGAAATCTGTTTCTCCACTTAGGCGAGAGAGAATTCTGTGACAACTGTAGTGAAACAAGCACACATATAGAAAATACAAACAAAACATTCCTTTCCCTATGTATTGGATTCTTCAGTGAGAAAATGAAAACGAAACCTTGGACTTCAATCAACTTAATTTTTGTTTAAACAAAGATACCTGCTCAAGTTTCTAGTTTACTTTATTTGATATATTGGAGGTTTCCCAGTTCCCTTAAAAGCAAAACAACAGCTTCTGAGATACCAATCAAACCCCACAGAAGCAGATGTAAAATGCATATAGTGATTAACAGCACAATTACTTACATATTGTTAGCACACAGGTCAACAGTAAAAACTTTAGGGGAAAATAGAACTACTAAAAACCACAGGCAAACATTAGTTGATACCTTTGAGTGCTGGCTTTTGGAGGTGTCGGAAAACAACAAGCAAGGTAATCTGAACCAGCACAGTCAGTCCAAAGAGCACTCGAGCCTGTAAAGACAGTTTTGACTATAAGCCAGCCCTGGAATAATTACAGCCTTGGAGCATGCCTTATGGATACTGATAGAATGGTACAAAGATTCTATTTGAAACACATATTCAAAGCTTGTTGGTATCATTAAACTGAAGAGTAAAAAAGGAAACTTAAGAGTTTCTAAGTTCTAGAATTTGTACTGTACTGACTTGAATTCTTCTGAATGTCTGAAAGCAATAGACACAAATCTTTAAAAAGAGAGTTTGTAAATAACATTGAAAAAGTGTAGTTACACTTGCAAGGCAAAACATTGTCTGAGCACTGTTCTGAGGAAAAATGCAGTTCAATACATGGTGTAGAATGCGTGACTGATTAAGAAAACGAAGATAATAATTACAGTCATGTGGACTTTCTTATGTAGTTCTAGAAATGCACCTAGACTACTAAGACATGACATCCTTCTTTGCATGTACTGAGCTGTAACACACCTGGATATGACCTGGAACTTACTAAAGTCAATGGGGATTTTGCCCTTCACTTCACTGGAGCTAGTTATAATGTCAGCAGCTGACAGTGAGAATATTTGCAGCATTCTTTCCAGAAAACATATTTCAACAGTTCACAATAAATTTTTCTTCAGTTTAATGTTTCTTTTTTCTACTCTCTCCAGTAGCTCTTTTTCAATTTCTTGCTTGCACAAAATGCGTGTATACTTATGCCCAAAAATGGATAATTGGGACTAAATCCAGGATGTCAACTGTTTGTATAAACCATTGTTGCACATTTGCAGTTGAAGTGTGCTACTTGAGAAACTTTAAATGTTTTGGAATTCCAAGAGTCATATCTGGAAAAAGTAAACTGCATTCAAGTCTACAAATTCCTTCAGGAATTACGAAAATGCCTACTGCAGATTGGGAAACCAACATGGCGTAACAGCTGTTTTGCTGAAAGTACTTACTAGAACATAGTGGTCAGTGAGAAGAATAACAGATGACCAGAAGTCAAATCTAAGAGAGAGGTTTTCTTCCATACCAAATAAATGGCCCCGTGTGCCAGTTCTTCCTGATGCATCCTAGATTGACATAAAATGAGAGGAATTACGTAGCAGTGGTACAAAAAACTGTCTAGTTAAAATTCCTGATTATCATTGCAGCTTTTCTAGAAAGATACAATTGATGTAAGCTTCTCTGGCATACTGCTGTATTAAATTCTACCTACAAAGTATTACTTACAGTCAATTCTGCAGTTTCAAGTAAATTGATGATTATAAAATCATAATCTGAAAGTGCTACATATGAAGAAGAGCCTGTCAGAGATTCACCAACTTACAGAAGACTGTGACTGTTTACTGTTCCCCCTCACAATTGTTTTCTGAAAGTTCAATTCTAGGTAATAGCCCATATTAAAATATTTTGAAATTTTGTTGTGCTTCATTTCTGGTGTGTTGCTATAAACCCATATAGATAAACAAACATTTGTTTATTGTCATTTATTCAACAGTTTCAGCGCAGTGTTCCAGATGTGGCCTGGCAAGCACTCAGTAGAGCAGGATAGTGACTTGTCTTGGCTGGTGGTGCCTTTGTGGATGCACCCTGGCATCCAGTAGATTTTTCTCTGCTGCACCAGCACACTGTTCATTCACACTGAGCTTGTGGTCCACAGGACACCGAGGTCGCTTTTCACAGACCTGCTCCCCAGCCAGGCAGGTCACAGCCTGTGCTGCACTCCTGGATTATGTTTTCCCGGGTGCAACTTCTTACACTTTTCCTTTACGAATTTCATAATGTTCTTCTTGGCCCACAATTTGCCCTTGGTTAATCTGTGTTGGCTCTTCCTAGTCATGTGCTTCATCTGACTTGAGAAAGCCCCCCACAAGGATTTATTTCCTAATTTTCTCAGGGACTGAAATAAGACTAATGGGCCTGCAATTTCCTGGATCCTCCCTTAAGCCCTTCTTATAGACAGGAGAGTCACTAGCCTTCTGCCAATCTTCTGGGATGCCCCTGATCTACACAACTTCTCCAAGACTATGGAGAGTGGCCTCACAAAGATGTCAACCAGGTCTCTTAACATTCTGGAGTGGAAACTGTCAGGGCCCATTAATCTGTAGGATCAAGCTCCTGTGCCAGGTCTTACTCCAACTCTTCCTTCATTTTCAGTGGGTCTCTGTTTGCATCAACCTTGATCCTTGTTCCCAAAACCTGAGGCCCGACACTGCTAGTACAGACAGAGGTGAAGAAAGTGTTGAGAACCTTTGCCTTTTCAGAACTGTTGGTGACTAATTCACCTCTGCTGTTTAACACCTGGCCAGTATTTTCCTTCTGTTTCTGGTTGTTGTTTATACATCTTTAGAACCCTTTCGTGTAATTTTTGACATCTCTGGCCAATTTCAATTCAATTTCGCACTTCTGTTGTGTCTTATTTTACTTCTTATGAAAAATAATATTTCTTTCTTTATCCCAGCAGCTTAATGAATATTTTGGTGCTTAGCAGTCAATATTTATTCCTTTATTAAATCATTTGGGTTTTGTAATCAGACAAATATGAAATTAAGTCTGTTATCATGTATTTTGTTCCTAGTTATGTGAGGCAGGAGGGTGATAGAGAAGCCATGACAAGAAAAAAAATTAATACAAAGAATGCCAACAGGTACCTTACCTGGACAGTCACATCTATGTGATGGAACCCTTCACTGTAGTTTTGTGGGTTCCACTTCAGCACATAGAGAGGACCAGACACCTGATGTGCATTCCCCAGGTGAACTCCATCTATGTAGACTTTGACAGAGATAATGACAGAAGGAGAGAATGCCAGAATTCTAAGGAGTAAATAAGGAGCAAAAGAAACAGATTTGTTATTGGACTTGCAGGTATGTCATTACTTCCTTAAGAAAAAGTCCCTAAAGGTTAAGCTGCCTTGTAGTAGAGTCCAAAAGATTTAGAAATTAAAACAGTGAAATATCTATAGGCTAATGATAATGTGGTAGGTCTTTCCTACAGTTAAAAAAAAAAAGAGTTCTGTGTGGCACTACACAAAAGAACAGGATAGAAAAATGGCTGTGGAACAGACAAAAAGGTGGCAGAAGTTGTAAGGCCCTGGCAGAAATAATTTTAGAACTTTTGCTTCAAAACACTTGCCAACACAAGTGGGATGCCTCCTCCAGCACACACAGACACATAACCGAAGACTTGTAGATGGCTTCATAAAAAATATCAGGCTCTCTCTCTCTCTAAAGTCCTTTGTTGTTTGGAGTGGGGTTTTTTCCTTCTTTTTTTCCCCCTTTTTTCCTTTTTGCTAGTCAGAATATAACCTCTCAGAGTTTGTAACTGCATGTAAGACAAATGGAGTGGACTGCAAGACTGATATTACAGATCTCAGATACCAACAAAGGTATTGTCACTTGGCAGTAGGGTTATATTCATAGAAACAGTGATACTAATACAGACTCAAAATATTGCACATGCAATTCCTTTCATTTCTGGTAATATGAATGGCGTTCCGGAGCATGTTTTAGTCAATGCAGGTGTTTCATACAGTTATGGTGAACAATTCTACCAGTTCATATATTTAATATAATCATAAGAATGTTCAGATAAGGTTCTGAATAGGAAACTGGAAAATAATTAGGACTTCTAGTAGAATACTGCTCCCTAACTGAAAAGTATGACAAACTTATTTTTATTGTAACCCTGTGTATGCAGTATTTCAAGCAGATTAATCTTACAGCAAATATAAAATGATGAAAAGGGCCTAAAAATCTGAAATATAAACGTAAAAATTAAATAGATAAGGTAAAAATGGAAAGATGGAGAGATTTAAAATTAATACGAAAATTGACAGAGGCTTCTCATGTTTTAGTATATAAAGGATGTAGAATTGAAAAGACAAAGCTAAGAAGTCTGAATTGAATAGAGAAATAATTCAGAAAAATACGTAGACAAAATCTTGAAATTATCAGAGTTGATGTGAACATATGAGATAACACAAATTACATGTTAATCTGTGCATATTGATTACATATGAATCTATTTTAGCTATATATTAATTGATCAGCTTTGGTTACATAAAGTTCATTTAGGGGAAATAACTGCATAAATAAAACAAACATGAATTACTACTACACACTCTTTTTATCACAGATATGATACAAAGCAAGTTCTCTGGAATAATCTTCCAGAGAAAAGTGAACTCTGAGAAGAGTAGACACACATTTGAAAAAAAAATGTTGTGTATATAATTAAATATTGTGAAATCAAGACATTACAGGGTACCTGATATGAGTGGAATAAAGAATTTTGACTAGTGGTTCATGAGTAGAACTGCTGTAAAGGAAGGATTTAGGATTGGTGATGAGAACTACAGGCCACTCTTCAAAGTTAACATCTGCGAAGCTGAGGAGGTCATGATCAAACGCGAGGATCCTGTATCTATAATGAAAGGAAAAAGATTTTGTTAATACAAACTGCCATGTGAACAGCTGATTTCCATGCTTCTCAAGTTCCTAAAGAACCTGGCTTTATTTTCCATTTATTCCCTTCTGTAGTTGATCTTACATTTTCCAACTATGCTATATTAACTCTACAGTTGCTTACCTCTAATGAGTACTCAAAGTTCCAAGTGTGAAGATCTGTTGAATTTTGCACATGAATCAGAAAGATGAACCTTACATTAAAGAACTCAAATATAATGTACATTTCCACAGTGTCTGTGTAGGTACTCTAGTTCAGGACAACAACCCCAGCATGCTCTTCCTCTGTATTCATACCAGTATCTTTCTTTGGATTACTGCAGAATAAAAGCTAATATACTACTATACACTACATGTAGCATCAGACACTTTTTGATATACAAGTAAGGTAACATTTCTCAGGTGGACTACTTCTGTGTCAAGAATTCTAACAGCTACAGCAGAGCATGTGTATTTTGAAGTAGTGATGCTGAATTTTACGACAATTTATTTGTCTAAATTTGAATACTAAACACATACTATCTGGATACATATTTAGATGTCCCCTTTTTAGTTTTTAAATATCAAGAATTAATAAAAAAATATTTAATTTATTATCATACTGTTGGTATGGGGAAAAATCCCAAATGTACACACAAGGCCATTTTTTTCAAAAGCACTAATAATAATAACCAATCAGGCTGATCTCATGCTTCTTTCAAATTCACCACACAGCATAAAAGGGAATCACAGTACAGCAAGGTAGGTTTCATATAATAATTTCCTCATATGGGCTTTTCTTACCTCCTATTATCCATCCAGTCTCCCAATTCAAGCTCCAGAGTGCCACCACGGTGTTGACTGTGCAAGACTGGCATCAGCCCGCCCATTGTATGGAGATGTCCACATAAATAGGCTGTGGCAGAACTAATAAGAACTGTGATTATTTGGGTGGGAAGGAAATATCACTGCAAAAAACCTAGAAGTGAGAGATGAGCATGTGAAGACAGGCAAGAAATGTACTTCATGCTGAAAACACACAGGATAAGAAGATCTTACCTCATTAGTGTTCGTATTCCAGGGGATGGGGAGATGATAGTTGAAGTGGGGTAGTGGCCAAACCAGATAGTATGGTTGCTGTGTAGACTTTCTGTTGCCATCAAAGACAGCTCTGCCATTTGATTCTGAAACAGGCAGGTGACAAATCTGTTTTGTTAAATAAATGTCTAACGTGCATTATAACTTAAAAATGTAAACACTCTTATAGATGAACACAAATCTTTCAAACAATTTTTCTATATTAAAAAAAACCCAAACCTCCAAACAAACTGCTACAGAAATAAAACAGCCAGCAAAATGAAATGCAAAGACTTATACAATACCGTGTTTAAAATCCCAAAAAAATTATAGGGTCTCTTAGGGCCTGGGCTGAGTGTGGCATCCACGCAGATGAATGAATAGTTTCCAAAAGAGGTAGTGTGGATATAATGGAAAGAGCCATCTTTACGCCAGGCAGAGTATTTCCTAACAAAATAAGATGAAAATACTGCTGTTAGGAAAGCTTGTAGCCATGACAAACATACATTAGTTTCTCTCTTTTCATTGACAACAGGTAATTTCGCTATTTCTGACTTACAAAACTGAAGTGCTTTTGATACTTTATGCTAGATGGGAATTGTACATATCTTCCACTGGCAAAGACATGACATTTCAACTAACAGTACCACCTAAATTGCTCTGTTAAGGATTAAAATCTGTTACTAAAATTATTATGAGTTAATCTGAGAATCACTAAAATTCATTAAGTTAAGGTTGTTTTTTTTAAAATTTAATTTCTTTTGGGGTTTTGGGGTGGGCATTTTGTGTGCATTTGGATTTTTTAAATTTGTTTTAGTTTTGTTTTACTCCCTGCATGATTTGTGGAAGCTAAAACATTCCTGAGTTCAGATGATGAGTATAATTTGAGCACAGCCATCCAGAAATCAGTTCATGTCCCTGTTCCTCCACCAGTCAAAACAATAAAATTGCCAGAAAGGTTGAACTAAATAGAATACAAGCCAATATATTAAAAACAAGTTTTCAATACTTCTAATGCCATAAAAACCCTTTCAAAATATTTTTAAGTTAGCATTATCTTTATGAACATCATCAACTTCAATAAAATTTCTTCCTTTAGTCTCACTTTGAGTATGTGAAACAGTTGATTCATCCTCTGCTAACGCTGTGAACATACAATAGGAACCTATGTTTTTGTGTAAAAATATTATATTTCAATAAAACCCATTGCCCTCTTTAATTTTAATGCATAATGAACACCAGAATGTGGTGCTGAATAACTGTTTTCCTAGCTTCTATTTTTATTTCTGCAAACAATTTTTATAATTTTAATATTTTAAAATATACATTTTATATATTGAAAAAACAAACAACTCCATTTCATTCTTCCATCTTCTCTCTCCTAGAGTGTGACTGAAAATTTTGTAGACATTGACAGATTTAACACACTCAATTACAAAACACAGAAGGGTAAGAGATAAGAGATGTGCACAAAGAATTCTCTATTTTCTTAATCAATTCTGCTCTACTAATTGACAATGCAAAAGACAGAGGGAATAGTAGATATGATCCTGGGCTATAGGAAAGTCAGTGAAAAAGCATATATGTGATAACTGAAAACAGAATATTGTTTAGTGAATTTGACCTTGAATATAGCTGCATCTGTATGGTAAATAAAAGTACCTGTAATAATTCTGAACACTATCCAGGCGTGGAATGTTGAATGAATCTGTAAGGGAGTAAAAAAGGAATTAAGGAAACTTTCAGATCAAATTGATCCTTGGCCCTGTATCTAGCTAGGTAATGTTGAGATAAAGGAGTCTCAGCAGGTGCTGAAGAGCTACTTTTCAAAAAATGCATGATTGACAAGCAGACTAACTGAGCAGAGGAGACATTATATACTCAATGCAGTTAAATGGCAATAGTTTTCTCATTCAAGTTTCAATGCAAAGATAAAGGCATTGTGGGAATGTAAACTGTTATTTAGCAACCAAAAACTAAGTATGTCTCCATTTTGACCACAGAACTTTTCAAGAGCTTTTATGGACTGGGTGCATGCTCTGTAAGTAAGACTTAACTCATTAATGTAAAATAAAGTAGTCATGGCATCTCATTTAGAGAATAGCATGTGTAGAACAGACATCAGCTTGGGGAAGTCTGTACTGCAACAGTTCCACTTCTCCATTAATGCTGCTAACAGAAGCCTAACAGGAAAGTGAGTATATATGACAAAGCTTACACTTTTTTCCCCCCAGGGCAGCTTCCTGTACAGCCTACACGATTGTCAGCTTGTGTTTGAATGCTTACAGTGCGGCAACAGCTGATGGATCTAAACTCCCATGACTCCCTTCTATTCAAAATAAACCAAATTTCCTTTAGCTGCTGGATATGTGACACCTTTTAAACTTAAACCTGTGAGGTGGAAGTCTATAAAAAGTAAATTGAAACCATTTCTTCAGTATGGTAAGATTACAGTTTGCCCCTCCATTAAATAATGTGGTATATAAAATAATGATGTGGAAACTAGCATCTGAAGTCATGTTCGACCACTTGCCAGGTAAAAGACTCTTACTTCTCTGGTACTAAAACTCACTCCACTAAGAGCTCGTAAACAAAGTGTGTCCTCAGCAGACATGTGGATGGCAAGCCTTTCTCCTGAGTCATGAATACTAACACACTAGTGACTACTAACATTTTACCTTTATATTCTGTGATCTGCAATCACAGGAAAGAGAGAAATGTTTCATTTTCTTCTTACCATGATTCCCTTTGATGTCTATCCACTTGGTTTTTTCCATGACCCTTGATCTCTTCAGGATTGACTGATAAGTTTTCCACTCATCTTCTACCTGCTCAGATCCCAGTTTATCTCTTGTCTTAGCATCTGTCAGATCACCTAATAGTGTACAAAGGTGAGATATAACTAGAGGCCTACACAGTTTATAAAAATACTGTAACTAGACAAGTATGCCATCCCTGCCTCCAAGTCTAAATGGCTGCAGGCCTGGATGCAATCTGCATGTTTCTGTATCTGGTCCACAAGATCAAGGTAAACATCTTCTCATGCAGATGCAGCAGCCTCATTAGACATCTCCTGACCATATCACCGCAGCACTTTCACCAATTAAGACAATAACTCTCTGTAGAAAGAGAACTCCAGGTCTAGCATTAAGATTATAAAGCCTTGCATACAGTAACAGCTCAAAGTAATTTCGACTTTCTTGTCAAAACTTAATCTATTTCAACAGCAAGCTGTCAAATGAAGTGGCAAGGCTTATTTCACCTCTCTTGGTATGATATGTTCAAATGGAAACCAGCAATAAAATCTTACATTAATTCACAGGTGAATTTCATACAAATGAGCAGGGATGGTTCTGAGAGAGGAACTGTATCCTAGTGGCTAACCACAGACATTGCTCACATCTGTAATTTCAAACACAAAGAATGTAGAATCATGACCAGGACATGAGGAAAGGCAGCTGCCAGCAAGGGCTAAGATACAGCAACACCTATTGGGAAAACATTAGCTATCTTGTGTGATTGTGTCTGTTACACAGAACACACTAAACTCACTGAAGAAAGTGAATGCTGAAGAAAATAATAATAATGCCCTTGTTGAGAAATTATTCTTTTCAGCTTCTACAGTCTCCCTTCAGCTGCAATTCAATTTCCATTGCTTAAGATATGTTTAAAGCTCTGCCTTGAGATCCTAGAATTTTGCCTATTTGCTGTTCCTTTGACAGTGCACTCAACAGGAAATTCACACTTTTCAACTGCTCACCTGTTGCTAGAACAAGTGCTGGCTGAATTACATCAATTGTTTCAGAACAGAATTTTTCAAAGTCAGGAGCTCGTTTGGGATCCCGAAATTTGCTGATATGAATATCTGACACCTGCAAAACAGAAGAGTGAAACACTGCCCCAAGTAGAGGGTTATTGCTACCCAGGTTCTTCTGCAAAGCCAAGTATACAAAAGAATGCAACGTAAGAGCAGTCACAGTGATTCATGTCAGTCTAAGGGATACAGGGAGAAACAGAAGTGGGTGACCAGGGGAGAAGGAAAGTAGAACAAGCAAATGATATTGCAACTCTAACCCTGAAATTACATTTACATCAAGAAAATTTCCTTAAAACTAAGAGCATACAAAAGTATGAGGAAAAACTTAGGTATCCACAGTAAATTGTGATGATTGCAAGTGGCCTTTGCCTTTCACATTGTCGGAGTTTCTGTGCAATGCAGTGGTTTTGCTGCAAGAAAGACTACAAAGTAGTTCCGCAAAGCAATAGGTTAAAGCTACCTAGAACATGAAATGTACTGAAAATTTATTTTGTACCTGGTGTGACATTTCCAGTAGCTGAGTGGAAGGATTTTTAACATTCTATCCAAGCATTTTAATGGATCAAACAAGTGTGTTTAGATCCCATTCCATGTGCCTTCAAGAAGGCAAAGACTGCCTAAGAAAGGATGATATGACTTGTAGAAGATAATGTTAATTTATGAGTCAGTCAAACCCCTCACATCAGAAGAGCAGTTTGGGGAGAATAAGAAAAGTAAGATTTTTCTATTTTTTTACATTGTAGCTTTTCAGTACTGTACAAAAAAACAAACCCTTGTGTGAACAAATGGTATTTGATGCCCAAAAAGCAGTAAGCAAATGCTCATCTGACAATATCACTTGGAAAGAAAAACATTAACTTTTATATTCAGATTAATAAGCCCGCTCTTGTAAAGCTTGTAGTTTTTGAAAAATCCAGATAAAATATCTTGGAGAAAAATTATTTACTTCTACTTATTCAGTCATCTGTATATGAAGAAAATATTACCTGAATACAGTTTTTTAATTCGGATTAGGAAAACTTCCCATTTGGAATGACATGGAATTTTTGCCTAGATCAGAACTGCATGCTAAAAAAGGCAAACACTTATAACTTTAATTTCACTTTCACTGAGGCATTCAAACTACTGTGAAGCAAAGAGTACAGCAAAACTACCTCAATACATCAAACCTCATTTAATCATTGACAAGGATACAACTTGTTTGCTTCTTTTCAGCCTGTGGATGTGCAATTAACTTATTTCAGCAATCAAACAGAGAAAATCAAAACTTCTAGTTTTCATTCTTGAGAAAAAAAAAAGTCTTACAAAAACCTTACTCATGTTCTACCAGTAATTACAGCAAATGTAAATTTCCAACCTTACAGCAGAGAGTGGCTCGGGTGCCTGATTTCCTACAGTGACCTTCCCACTTTTCTTCCTCATGGGTTTAAGATTTTAAAAAAGGTTCAACTTGTCATTTCTAAGAGTTACAGTGTCCCGGGACTTCTGAGAGCTGGGACCAAGTTTCTCTCTTCACTACCAGCCATGACATTTGAAGATCTCAGAAGTGGAGCTTCTTCCCTTTTTTTTTTTTTTTTTTTTTAATTTTAAATTCATTTCAGATTATACCCCAATAAAAAGAGAGTGGGCAAGATGAAAAGCTTGTAATGCTCTTATTTACTTTCCAAAATGTAGGTGAAAGCCCATTTGCTGCTCTTTCCCCTCCCTCTGACTGATGTGGATACTTGGCCTCTCATTGCATCATTACTTTCATTAAAATGGGTTGGAAGAGATTTAGGAATGAGGAGAAATTACCATCATCATTCCTTACCTAGCAAAGATGTGGTTCAGGAGAGGCATTAATGAGGGAGAATTACAAGGTCTAGAGCAACAGTAGAATGCTTTCAGCTGACAGAAATGGGAGAAATAATTAAATGCTTGTCAAACTGAACTAGAGTGTCTATTTGGCAGTGGGTAAGAAAGGAAATTCTGCTACAATAAAGGTGGATGAGCCATTAATAGAAGATTAAAGTAGAAAGACTGTGTTTTAGTTCCTTTAAGAAGAGATAGTCCTGTGTATGGGAAGAAAAACAAGGCAGGAACTGCTGAGGGCAGAACTATCTTAAGCTCTATTCAGTGACCTAGGCTAGACCTATGGATCCACCAGGGAGCCTGAAGCCTGTTTCCCATAACATCACCAGGCACAAGGCTGGATTTGGTGCTCAATTAGTTTCCAAGTTAGGTCAATGATAAAGCAGCTGTTAAAGGGCACGTCTGAAAGAGAACATAACCACTTGAAAGTAAAGCCAAGTCTCAAATTAGCTGTGCTGTGACCTATCCTTGGGAGAACTCCACTTGATGTGACACAACCAGAGAGAACACAGCAAGAGAAACATGGCCTGTGCATGCTGCTTGTCAGTATAGCTCTGCAGCTGCTATATGCTGCTGTATCTGACTCTTCACAGGACAGCAGCTCAGGACAGGGGCTTTCCTTACGTTATTTCAAGTGTATCTCTTGATACTTGTACTCTGCAGTAAAAATAATCCTTAAGTCACTTAAGGAAAAATTATTGGAAAAAAATTACACCACCAATTAGAGAGAACCAAAGGACTTACATATGCTAGCTCATCCACTAAGAGCACTGCCTGCAGCTAATAAAGTGAGGCAAAGTGTTCTTGAGATTGAGAATGAAAACAAAACAGTAAAAGCAGCTATTAGAAGGAAATGCACAGCAATCCCTGGGACATCTCAGCCATAGGTTAACTACAAATATGTAAACACTACAAATATGTAAGCACTTTTGTGGCTAGTTCTACACTAAGTGCTTTGGGAATGCTCTGGGGAGAAGAGTCACAGAAGAAGCCACAGAAGCTCTAAGATGTGACAATTTGCTTCCAGGACTATGCCAGGTCAACTTGGATTTTATGTTTAACCTCGAAACAAAGCTGTGTATATTTAACCTTTGAATACTGGCACAGTACCTTCTACTGCTATAAATCAGTAAAGCTATTTTCTCAGCCACACAACTTTTTGAGATTTTGGATGGGGAACAGGACGGGCAGAGCCTGCATTTCTGCCCAGGGTATTAGATAATACCGCATCAGGTACTGATGCATTATATAGGGTAGTATAATAATTAGGTGATTTTTAATTACCTGCTTCCACTGCACACATCTGTCTGTGTGATAAGGAAACTTCTCTGTGCAACCATCCAGGAGCCGCTCTGGCAGTCACACACACCGCGCGCAACCGAGGCCCCTTCGCAGCTACACCTGACACACTCACAGCCAGACCAGGTTTCCTTGCCAGCTCAGCCCCAGGTTTCCCATAGCAGGGTCTCAGTCTTCGGGATCATTAAAATAATTTAGTCTTGATGGAGTAATTAACAAAATAACAGTTTGACTTGGGTACCTCTAAGAAGGTGCCCCAAAGAAAGGAATCCCCGGGCTTTTATACCCTCAGTCTGAGAGCAAGCAAGTCTGGGGTCATGGGCTCCTGCCGTCACTGAGTGTCGGTCCCGTGGCCGAGCCACAGGTCTCCTGTGCCCTTCGCTGTGTCAAGGATTTCACAGCTCCCGACCTTTCGCCTCGGGCTCCCGTCTCCCCGAGCTCAGCCTGCCCCTCGCCCTGCAGCTCCACGTTGGGCTGCCGGCACTGAACACGCTCCCCAACGCGACCTTTCGGGCAGCCTGGCCAAACGCCTGTAGCCTGGGCTTGACTGCCGCCTCCGCCGTGCCCGAGGCTCGGCCGCCCTCGCCCGCCCGGCCCCGCTCACCTGCACGACCCAGAGCAGGCTGGCGGTGCCCGCCCCGGGCGCGGGCTGCGGGGCCCAGCGGCGGCGCTGCCCGGGGGCCGGCGTATAAGATACATCTTTTTAGATGTTCTTCATAATTTAGTTACTCTTTTGCAGGACTTCATGTATGTTTGCTTTGTTTTTTTCAGCTGCCTTTCATCTTGCTTGTGTACTCTTCCCCCCCTAAAAATCACCCTGAAGAAAAGTTGCTAAATAAACATCAGTCAGCAATCCTGTTAATCTTCAGGACTAATCTTGAGAACTGGTGTTTGCTCACTTTCTTCCTGAAGCACTGCCATTGTATTTTAGCTCTAGCAAGGCTGTCAAGCATTTTGTCTGTATTAAAATTGATCTGAATTCCTGTTTTGTTCTTCTTTCTTCTATTACTGTAGTATCCATGGAGATCTTGGTGGTTTGTGCCATTTCTGCCTGGGCACTGGTGCCAACTTGTTTTTTTAAGAGGTTTGCTGACACTTTCTTTGCTGTCTCTCAGCGCATGCAGGTTCCAATTTTTTTTTTAATCATAATTTTTAAAAATAAGTCTAACAGTAAGTCTTGTTCAATTAAAGCAGTCGATTTACATTAGCATAACTTCTAGAAGTCCCACAGTAAAACAAACCCACACTGGTAGTGAGGTGAAGGAGGTGGCCAGGCAAGCTGCTTGCCTGGGGGGCAAGGAGCCCTCCTGCTGCTTGACTGGGTTTGTTGCTGTCCTGGAATTCTGCCTTGCTTCTCTTGCTCGACTACATTGGAAGCTGGATTATACAATTGCTAGTGTTGATGCCAAAACAGGTGGAGGACTCCAGTAATTAAAGTCCAAATTTGGTTGTTGTACAAACAACACTTCTGGTTAGCGGGCAGCTGTGCTACTGAAAAGGACTGAGTACAGAGACAGACAGAATGAGATGAAATTGTTAATTGTCTCATGGCAAAATTCACTTTGTATTTTTTACACCTCATACTTAAACCTGTCTCAGTGATGGTGATTTTAAGTGGCAGATTTCAGTAATATAAAAATGTATGCAGGACTTCTTAATAAGAAAGACTAGTAGCTATGGCAGATGAACTACATTCAGATATAAGAGAAGATATGAGAGAAGAACTTTGAGAGTACCTGTGGCTGGGTACAGTGCAAAAAAATCATTGAATATACTTGAAAAGATCACCTGTAAACTTTATCCCATCCATACTGATAACTGAAGAAAGTGGAAAAGATGCTTGGAGGCTTGAAACAGGAAGACTGCAGTGAGAGGAGGCAGTCTTCCCAATATCCAAGATATCAGGCATTCGGTATGGACCCCAAGATCCAATGCTAGGGCTATTTGTCTACTAGGACAGCTTGAGGAAGGTGCAAACACAGGGGATTGTGCAACTGGACTGCAACAATCTGGAAAACTTCCAGCAATGCATAAGCCGTGTTTGTCACATATCAATCAAGATCCTAAATGCCCTAATCTGCCAAATCTGCTAAGCACCCAGAACAGTTACGATATGCTGTTGGAAGGAGGTGTAGAGGAAAAAGTTTGATCTTGGAGATTGTTTGTTCTTTAGGCATTTAACTAAAGCTACTGTTGCCTTCTATGCCAAGTTAATAAAACTTTGCTGTTTGCTTAGCCCACATGGGAGCCACAAGGAAGTGGTGTGACTTTGCACCTGTGTAGATGAAATTATTTGTGCCATTATCTTGCTAGCAATAGCATGAGGGGACATAGTCCCCTGCATCACGGGAGGCTTATGTTAGGCATTAGGAGGAATTTCTTCACCGAAAGGGTGATTAAACATTGGAATGGGCTGCCCAGGGAGGTGGAGTCAATGTCCTGGAGATGGTTAAGGAAAGACTGGACGTGACACCCAGTGCTATGGGCTGGATGATGAGGTGGTGTTCGGTCGTAGCTTGGACTCGATGATCTCAGAGGACTTTTCCAGCCTAACTGATTCTGTGACTCCGTGACGCCGTAATGCAGGGCGCGAAGTGAACACCTAGACGGTCCAGTTTAGGTGCCTGCACAGGAACTCCATCCCCGTAGCTCGGCGCCCAGGATCAACGCGAGCCCGCGTGCCGGCCGTCCCGAGAGCCCCGGGCCGGGCCTTGCTGCGGCCTCCCGCAGGAGGCGCTGCCGAGGCCCGGCGCGGCGGCGGCGGCTGCGCGCGGGGCGGGCCCTGGGCTGCGGGCGCAGCGCCCGGTGACGGCGGCGGCTCCTTCCGGGCCGTGACGGCGCCGCCGGCCGCGTCCCTCGCTCTCAAAATGGCGGACGGAGCCGACAGAAGTCCCGCGGCGGGAGCGGCGGGTGGCCGGGCCCCCGCGCAGGCCCCGGAGCGAGCTACGGTGAGGCTGCAGACCGGCGCCGCGCCGCGGTTCCCTTTGCCCGCCTCGGGGGCAGCCCGTGCCCTGCCCGTGCTGCCGCCCCGCCGCTCGGCCGAGCAGGGCTGGCTCTCCGCGGCTGCCGAGCGGCGCCGTGGAGGGCCGGGACGCGCCGCTCGGCACCCGCC